GAATAAGTTAGAGGAAGTTGACCATTCAACCACCTGCTACCGCCAGAGCCCGGGCTACATGAAGAACCGCGCGCGGGACGAAGACTTGCTGAAGCCGCTTAGCTAGCGACAATATGAGCGCTAGCCTGGATGACAGACCCATAGTTAGCCAGGCGATTCCTTTTAACTATACCCTTCGGCTTGGGAAGAAACATATTTGATATATATCCTAATCCCAGCTGAGTTAGTTGTATTATTAAAGCCAGTCTGCTTGCGAAGTGAACCCGACCACCACCGGACCCCGTACTAGGCCGGCCGGCTCTGGAACTCTCTCACCGCCGGGCACTTCTACTATATCCAGCCCGCCGAAGACGCTGAGTTTATCCCCAACTTGAACAACACCATTCCCCTCAAATGTTTATGTCATGAAATTAAGTTATCTGTGAAACAAATGAGGCAATCCCGGCTCAATATTTCTTATAAATTCCGCGATACGAATTGTATGAGAAGATCCGCTCACCTGGAGGAGTGTACGCTCAAACCGCCGACTGAAGTGTGCCGATTTCGGAGGAATGTACGCTCAAAACCAGAGGAACGTCCGCTCACCTGGAGGAGTGTACGCTCAAACCGCCGCCGTGAGAAGTGTGCCGATTTCGGAGGAATGTACGCTCAAAACCGGAGGAACGTCCGCTCACCCGGAGGAGTGTACGCTCAAACCGCCGACTGAAGTGCGCCGATTTCGGAGGAATGTACGCTCAAAACCGGAGGAACGTCCGCTCACCCGGAGGAGTGTACGCTCAAACCGCCGCCTGAAGTGCGCCGATTTCGGAGGAATGTACGCTCAAAACCGGAGGAACGTCCGCTCACCCGGAGGAGTGTACGCTCAAACCGCCGCCGTGAGAAGTGTGCCGATTTCGGAGGAATGTACGCTCAAAACCGGAGGAACGTCCGCTCACCCGGAGGAGTGTACGCTCAAATCGCCGACTGAAGTGCGCCGATTTCGGAGGAATGTACGCTCAAAACCGGAGGAACGTCCGCTCACCTGGAGGAGTGTACGCTCAAACCGCCGACTGAAGTGCGCCGATTTCGGAGGAATGTACGCTCAAAACCGGAGGAACGTCCGCTCACCTGGAGGAGTGTACGCTCAAACCGCCGACTGAAGTGCGCCGATTTCGGAGGAATGTACGCTCAAAACCGGAGGAACGTCCGCTCACCCGGAGGAGTGTACGATCAAACCGCCGCCTGAAGTGCGCCGATTTCGGAGGAATGTACGCTCAAATTAAACCGGAGGAACGTCCGCTCACCCGGAGGAGTGTACGCTCAAACCGCCGACTGAAGTGCGCCGATTTCGGAGGAATGTACGCTCAAAACCGGAGGAACGTCCGCTCACCCGGAGGAGTGTACGCTCAAACCGCCGCCTGAAGTGCGCCGATTTCGGAGGAATGTACGCTCAAAACCGGAGGAACGTCCGCTCACCTGGAGGAGTGTACGCTCAAACCGCCGACTGAAGTGCGCCGATTTCGGAGGAATGTACGCGTCAAAACCGGAGGAACGTCCGCTCACCCGGAGGAGTGTACGCTCAAACCGCCGCCTGAAGTGCGCCGATTTCGGAGGAATGTACGCTCAAAACCGGAGGAACGTCCGCTCACCCGGAGGAGTGTACGCTCAAACCGCCGCCTGAAGTGCGCCGATTTCGGAGGAATGTACGCTCAAATAAACCGGAGGAACGTCCGCTCACCCGGAGGAGTGTACGCTCAAACCGCCGACTGAAGTGCGCCGATTTCGGAGGAATGTACGCTCAAAACCGGAGGAACGTCCGCTCACCTGGAGGAGTGTACGCTCAAACCGCCGACCGAAATTTACGCGTTTCTTGAGACTAGATAAATATTTTATTGTAGGACTGATTTTTACATATATACTTCTTAGGTTTAGTTTTGTTGGTCAAATGAATGTATAAATACAAATAATGAGTCATTTTACACCTTATGCTGCAGTGTTTTTGTAAACAAGCCAATTTTGAACGTTTTGTAACGATTTCAAAACAGCAACCTGGTGCTAATATACTACCCTTTATTAGACAGTTGTTTCACACTTTGATTGACAGAATTCATGTCTGACGTTTCCTCACTACCCCTATCTTGTGGAATAATAACCTTGAAGTGATATTAAGCGCTAGTTCTGTCCAAGGGCGACTTTCTTCTGATAACACCATGCCATGTTTTACCTTGGGTCTATCTTATCTCCAAGCAGATGTTGGGAGGCTAAATCTCGTTTTCCCAGCTGCCCGTTTCTGTCACAAACCGTCTGCTACTAAATTAATGAGGCAGTAAATTATGGTGTATAGGTCTGGAAACAGATTTCAACTGTCATACAGTATCATACTGTATTCTTAATGACATATTCGTATGATAATCATTTTGAAAAAAGTAGTTATAATTCTGATTCTTGTGAGTACAATGTTAATAAAACTTCATATGGAAAAACTATGGATGGAAACAAAACCTCATGTATACAAATGAGGCAAATGCTCCAATAAAAGACCATTGTTTATTATAGAATTCACTTCTTTATTGCCATACAAATATTCACAAGTAAAAGGTACATGTATTTCATGACAGAAACTCCCATAATTATTTCCCTCATACATACACAAGCCAGATAGATGATATAATAATAAATTCAGCATAATTCTAAAACTTTTAAAAGCACCCGTGTACACTCTGAGTCAACATCATGTAGTCAAATTACTGTTGTTCACATAATGGTATGTTATATAACGTTATATATACTGTATATTACAAAACATACAAGGAAAATGTACTAGTATTGCAATTCTGAACAGATGTCATACTGTACAACACAAAAAACTCAGGAAAAAATATGTCTCAGCACATGTTAACTTCAGTCTGATTCTGTTGCAAGACTTTCATGCACTTGTCAATGCTAATCCAAAGGGGGAGAGGGGGGCAAGTATACAGATACATAGTTAAGGCCACACCAATTTAATTTGTTGGTTCCCGGATATTTTGCAAATATGAAGCGACAGGGCGAAAAAAAATAAAAATAAAAATAGGTCTAGGCATACCATTATAGGCTTAAATGCTACGGAATGAGCCATGAAGTCAACACAAAAGGCTGGGTTAAAATTTAAACATTGAATTTTGAACTTTTAATCAAACCACTGCAATGATAGATGGGAAAACAACTAGGAAGGAAAGGACTTTCCTCAACTGTTGGGGGCAAAATATGAGCATTTTTCAGTTGATTCAGGACCAGAATCAATTTTTTTTTTTTTTGCAAATCAGAAAAAAACGAAGAGGCGAATCCGAGAACCAACAAATTAAATTGGTGTGGCCTAACAGGCATTTATACAAATGGAACTCCTTGTCAGATGTTGTTGTAGAGGCAGAGTCTGTTAATGCCTTCAAGTCAAGGTTGGACATGTGTTGGGAGGAAAGGAAGTACCTGGAATGACAAGAGGGTGGCACAACAGGCGATGCCTCCAGCCACCAATACATCCTCAAGGTATCAAGGTATTTATAACAGCCACTTTAGTACATTGGGGAAAGTTCTCAATTATATTTTCATGCAATTCTTATCTGAAGTGTAGCCTATTCACATTATGCTATCAAACATTCAAAGAGATGTCAGTAACAAACATATTGCTTGTTTCCAGTCAGTAAAAAAAAACAAGCAAGGAATTATAGTACAAAAAAGGTTAACTGTTGGACAACATAATTAAAAAGATGCTGAGAAATTGTAGGGGTACAAAGGAATGGCCTAAAGTATAATATCAAGCTTCACAAATTTTTCTGTTGTTTCCCCAGTATTTCACCACCATATTGTCATGTACCATGCTCACCATAATGTTACTTACTTTACTTTACTCCAAAATTTGACATAACGCAAGGACTACCTCAAACAAAGATACTTCGGCCAATGAAATCTGGACCTTTTTTAACGGTATATACAACTGAAAAGACTAATTTTGACTTTTTGCAGACAGTATTTACAGCAAGGTTATGTCACTACTTCTTGAATGCTAGACATTCTTTCATTCTTGTCATTTTCAGAAGCCATGCACATATATGTAGAGACTAAGAAGTAAACACGAATTTGAACATCGTAAAATCAATGAGGGGTATAGAAATCTGGAGGACTTGTTCAAATATTTTCACTTCACTTCTTTTCTTGTGTAGAGACTTTGAAAATGCTGCATTCCTCCTATAGTTGTACTTAATACATGTATAATACTTCTAGACCAACTTTTGGTGTTACTTCTTGTTCCTAATTTTCTTCAAGGGTACCTGTCTAAGAAAGTCTGAAAATTGTAGCTACATCAGGGAACAAAAATCAAATATACTACTAAGAGAATTTTGGCACCCCTGGACAAAAATGTTAGTTTTCGCAGCCAAACACTATCATACAGTCAAAACTGCCCAAAAAGATCACCCAGGGGACCGATAAGTCTGGTCTATGTGGACAGGTGGTCACTATAGACAGGATTCTTAATGCTTGTGTCAATGGGGAAAATTTACAAGTAGTAAGGGACCACCAAAAGGAGTCACATTGGCCAGGTGGTCCTTAATATGTAGAGGTGGTCACTAGTACAGGTTTGACTGTAGTTCAAATTCCTCAGAAATTGCATGAATATATCTGACCACTATTTTTTTCCACAGCACAAAAAACAAGCAGCTATAAGTATACCACAATGGCAATATACTCCAACGACAAGCATTTTTAAATACATGTACTCATAGATTACATGTGTGTAGATAGATATAGAAAAGTTCCGTTTCGATTGACACAGAAAGCATTTTTGAAATATTTACATTTACACAACGATTGTTCACATACACCCTGTTTGGGTAAAGGGGAGGTCTGTTCTTAAAGTTAAAGAGGTCTTGTCTAAGAGCTACAGTGAGGAGGCATTTACAAAACACCATCAGTTCTTGTCACTAATTACTACTAGCTCATTATGGCACGTTAAATGATCTATACAAATAGAAACAATGGCATTTTTTTTTAGAATGATTTCTGATGTTAGTATCGGCAAGGATTTAACAATAAATACTAAAAAAGACAAGCACTGTTCGCAGCATCAATTTTGGCTATTCTGTGTGGCTATGGCAAGCAGCTTTTGTCAATAGCAAGTTGTAGAACTGTATCAGTATCTGTATAGCTGGTATAAATGGTAGGTAGCAAAACTATATAGTATCTGTTAGCATTATTGCCTGTATAGAGGAAAACTGTACCAATTTTAGCACTTTTTCAGAATTGTATCTTGGCAAACTGATATGGCCGCAAATGGCCATCCAGTCCCAAAGATTTAAAGAAGTCTTTTGAGTACGCACTTTTTTCTGAGAACACGAAAAAATTTTCCACACAACTACTAGTATTCAACACAAAATACCTCCTCACTCTATATATTGTATTTACTTATACTTACACTAAATAAAGACCCCACGAACACCATATTATCAAAGTCTGGTAAAATACTGGTATTACTGGAGTATTTACAGACTTGGCTTTTCCAACTTGCAACAACTAATGATCACCCCTCCAAAGCTACAACTTGGACTAGTCCTACATTAAAATTCCCTGGACTATTCCACTGTACAAATTTGAAGAGGGAAGCGGTGGACAATAAAATTTTGCCCTGGCCAATTTGATACTGTCTTTGCGGCCACCGAAAAATCTGCTTGGAGATTAGTAAGAAAGGACACTATCTTTAACCTTCTACCTGCTACCTGGCCCTATAACCAATACAAATTTGGTGCCAAAAGGCAACATTATAATTTAGTATGCTGAAGGTTACAATGTTATAATGTCTTCATCCACCTTTAACAAAAAACCCTTCCAAAAATTTATACATGGAATGTCCACAACCTTTATAAATTATAATGAGTGATACTGTATACTCTTGTGTCTCTCTTGTTACTTCATCTTTTGTTTCATGATTCGATTCTGCTTCTTATTAAATTAGAGAATCAGAAGGACGGCCTACAATAATTACTGTTCTTTTAACTTCGTAGTTTCATGATTTGAGATACTGTAAAAACCGTTACTATGGCAAGATCCTAGATCATACTGTAGCTACAAGTACCTGATCGAAGTTCCTTGGGTCAAAGGTTCAATTCTTGGCAAGATTTGTCTGAATTTGGCCAAATAGAAACAGAGAGGATCTGGCCAAATCATATCCTTGCTGCCATTATATTTTGTTACCTATTAAAATTGTATTGCACACGTATCATACGCGGTGCCAGCTGCTCTAGGGTGACAAAGTTGAAAGTTTAGAGTTCAGGAGGAGGCATAGTCAGCCCTAACAGTGAGAGATTGTGTAACACAGGATACAAAATGTCTAACATTATTGTTGTTTGTTTTCTTAAAGTCTCATTGCTTTGTCCTTGTAATGTTCACTATGTCTCAGGTCATTTCAATTCAATTTCTTGGTTCTCAAAATTTTGTAGAAATTTATGGAGTGGGCAAGCAAAAACTAACCCAAAAAACAAAAACAAGCAGGCAAAGTGTGAAAGACCATATGAGCCACAAAGTCAACAAAAAAGAATTGTCAACGACTTTCTTCAGCCATTGGTGCCAAAATGATAGAAATGTACAAAACTGTGATCTTTTTGCTTTTCTGTCAGTCAAAATCAGACAAAAAAGAAGCAGCAAATTTGAGAACCCAGAAATGAAAATGGTGACGCCTACAATATCTCGACCTTGCATTGTGTGAGGTTTTCTCTTTTAGTGAATACAGTCTGCAACTTGCAACACCATTGCTCACAGAGCAACAGCGAGGCAACGAAATGTCAGATTTTATTTTACACTAACCTTTGACCTATTACCTTTGACCCAGATATTGCCTGAAGATACCTTTCCTTTACTTGCAACTTCAAGTAGTAGAAGAAACTTCAAGATGCTCCAGTCTTCTTCTTGGCTTGTCCAAGACATTCAGTAGATCCTTGATTTTATACATCAAGTTGTAGCATTCAAATTCCTATCTATCACTCAGCTTTCGTGTCTGTGTAAAACCTTTGAGAGATCGTCATTCTTTCTGTCCATCTTCTATGGCTACCCTCCATGGCTACTTCTGTCGTTCAGTCACTCAGTACGTGGACAAAGCTCACGGGGAAGAGCCCTCGCCTCTCGGGATGGCCCTCGATGTGGCCCTCCTGGGAACAAGAAGAGGCAGAAAGACTGTTAGTAAGGTAACAGTAATAAGTAAGTAAGGTAACAGTAATAAGTAAGGTAACAGTAATAAGTAAGGTAACAGTAATAAGTAAGGTAACAGTAATAAGTAAGGTAACAGTAATAAGTAAGTAAGGTAACAGTAATAAGTAAGTAAGGTAACAGTAATAAGTAAGCAAGGTCACAGTAATAAGGGCTATGCTATCTTTTGCAAAGCAGTGCATTATGAGATTGTTTTGAAAGAGTGTGTACAAGTAAGACACTATAATATTGAAATGAGTGAAATGGAAATGAATGAAAGGAATAAAACGAAAGGTCTCAGCACAAAATAAAGAAAAGGCAGAAAGAATGTAAGAAAGGTAGCAGTAATACTAATAGGGGCTTTTTTAGTTATCTAATTACAAAGAAAAGGTAAGGTGCTCATTCGTCATCTAAGTTGAAAGAGGAAATTAGCTACTACATGTAGCCACTAGCTAGTTCAATGCAGCTTTGCCACAGCTTGCATTTACATGTATAGCAAAGAACAGCGGGTCACCACTACTCTTCTTGATAAGTGTGTTTGGGCTATTTTCCATTCAAAGGTTTTATGCTTGAGACTCCTTCAGCTTCTCTAAAGCTCCTTCATACACAGGACCGCTGGCTTTGTGTCACCATTCGAAATGACTGCAGTCCCTTATAACATGTCAGAGATTAGATAACCTTGAACCAGTGTTGACGTCACACTAACTGACTTCACAGAAGCCATGTGACAAGCCTCACTGAGTCAGTCTACTGAGGAAGACCAGAGTGACTGGTCGGAAGCTCGTGTTAATGGATCAAAAGCTTTCACTTTAAACATGTTCGAGATGAGCTGACCCTGGGATCAAACTCACACCTAGGGTTCCATAGAATATGACCCATACAGCCAACCAGTTGATTGGTGATTGATTGACTGAACATACTGTTTTTCCTCAGTTTCTTCTTCTTCTTCAAACAAATAAAGTCAACTACCTGGTCCATAAGTCTGTCACCATGGCACCTAGCTAGTGGCAGTGTTGGGTTACATTCGAGTTGAGCAGAACAGAGTTATGTGAATGTGTTTGAGTAAGAATAAACAGTAGTTTTTTTTAGGATGGACCATGTGAAGTTAAACAGCATGCATTTGCTTTGCAAATATTACTTTAATCTCTAGTATACTAATTAAGCTGATTGATTGATAGATGAAGTTGTGTTCACTCACCCACCACTCCTTGTCGGGCTCTGCTAGGACAACGATGATCTCTCCTTCAGCGAAAGTGAGCTCGTCCGCGTTGTCTGCCGTGCAGCGGAAGGCTGCTCGCACTCGTCTCGACTTCGCCTGCTTCTGGACGGAAACGCGACAAGTTTGTAAAAATCGTCACAATCTGAACATTGCCAAAATTGCCATTTATATCTAAGCAATTCCCGCAGCTGGACAGAAACACAACAATATTATAAAACTGCCACATCTGAACATGGCCATACATATTGTACTCTGAAAATTGTCACAATCTCAATATACGGCTTTGCTGGCTTTCAGAAACAATAAGTTTTTAAATTCCATACACAAGCTGATCTTACTACATTGTACAGTATGGCTGGAAAAGAAGACAGAAATGTGTGAGCTTTGTAGTATGCACATAGTAGTATTCATAATCATTAGAATCTGTGACAAGACTCTTGTAAGACTTGTTCCCCCCAAAACATACTGTACCTTCATCTGTCAAAAGCATTACAGTAACTGTAACATTTTTCTGTGAAGTACTTGTTAGCATTCATCTTGGGGAATAGTGCATCTAACCTAAAAATTAAGGTGCACAGGAATACATAAAGTACATTTTGAACCCTTTATTTCAAAACCTGTAGATGCAACATGAGTATGATTGTATATAATTTGGAACTAAAAAAAAAAAAGGGTACCCTAACCAAAATTTTAAGTTTCACACGTTCATTCTCCTCACCTCATACCTTGTCAAAAATCCTCCCAAAAACTGGGCAGCAGGGGAAGGGGGAGGGGGGCAAACGGTCAGCCGTCATGTTAGTAGATGTTTTCAGATTTAGAACTTTAGAAGCATAACCTTTCCTCAAGCATTAAGAATGTTAAAAATCATGCAGTGCCTGAGCAACTTTAACCTTCTTCTTGCTGCCTAACCCTGAAATGAACACAAATTTGGTGCCAAATGGCTACCTTAGCATGCTGCAATGTGACACAGTGACGAAAAAACTGAGAAAAGAAGGGTATGGAATTTTAGACCATGCAATAGCCAGTTATTCATGCAGAGATCTCAGGGCAGTGCAAAATTTCTGCTTGGAAAACCATATCTTCCCATAACATGGCATGCATGGACATGCAAATGTCATGCTAATTGTTCTTACCGGTACCTATGTTCAGACCTAAACCTTTAAAAACTCAAACTAGGATTACTATAAATGGTCTAGCTTTTTTTACATGATACAAAAATAGTACATGTCTGACTTTATGTTTGTAGATTTAATGTTGTAAGACATTACAAGTAAAAGATATTGTTTTATGTAAGAGGGTGATCTACAGGAAGACTTACTGGCTGAGTCTTTCTGGGGAGAGGTACGGGGGAGGGACTTCTGTCTGGTGAACTGTCAATGTCTCCTTCTGCACTGTTCATGGACAGACTGTCAACTGACTTCCGAGGAGCAGCTGAAATACAAGTTAGAAATATATTCAATTGGTGGTACATATGTATAAATGATCCCAGTTAAAATAGTCCTGTCCTTGGTGCTGAAAGACAGTTCCAGGTGCTCTACACATTTTGTTGGTGTTTTTTTCTGCAATAAAATACATTAAGTGCAAGATCTTGCTGTTCAGCACTTATAGGCTTTTCCTGAAATGCAGATACACTTCATTTTCAAAATCTTCCAATGTACCTCTCCATAACAAAATCCACCTCAAGTTTACAGTTAGTTTAAGATCACATAGTCACCTTCTCATTGCCTTAGTTTCTATTCCACTAACAGTCCTTTTATTTCACTCAAAACAGTCCACCTTCTTAGCCTGGTATTCACCCTTTCTAGCTCCAGTTTACTCCATTCCATTCCATTCACTCCCCACACCATGTATAGGAGCAAACTGGAGAATTTTTGTGTAAAAAGGATGAATACCAGCTGGCTACCACCTTCTTTTAAAGTTAGAAATCCCAGTGTTTGAACACATGAGCTGAATACCTGGAGAAACACCCGGACTGGGAACACTCACTGAGATTTTGATGGGCACAACTGGAGAAAACACTGGGTATTTAAATCATCAAATCATCCATTAAAGTTTTAGTGCATTCATGTATATTCTAGCTTAATGGAAGGTACATTAAGGAAATATTTTTATTGACTTTATTGGTCCAGGAACTGTTTTCAAAATTGAAAGTAGAGTTTTGAATGTAGGGAAAGATTTACATCACAAGGAAAGCAAAACATTATCATAAAATGCTCCTGACAGTGTGTTTTTGCCTACAGTAACATATTGACAAAAAGATTTGTGTTTTTGTACAAACTTTCAGAAGCCATTCAGAAAAGAGGCCGACACAAGGGTCGGAAAAGCACGAACATCCTTCACCGTAGGATTACTGGTCTAGGAACAGTGTGAAAGAAAAAATGATCAATACTCTAGGAACAATGTGAAAGGGAAAGTGATTACTGTCTATGAACAATCTAAAAGGGAAAGTTATAATTGGTCTAGGAACAATGTGAAATAGAAAGTGATTATTGGAACAATATGAAAGGCAAAGCAGACTGACCTTGTGGCTGAGTTGGCATGGAAGACGAGCGAGGTTTGGGAGGTGGGGTGGGGGGCGTCCCTCTGTCCAACACTGCCTTGTTCCGGGGGAGCGGCTGGGGCTTCTCACTGTAAGACCAAGATAATGCACAATTTTACAATCAAGATTTTAGATTTTGACTTATATCTAATTCACTATTGAGGATACCAAACAGCTAACTAATATGTTCTAAAATACCAGATAAAATTGTTAGAAGTCAAATCCAATGAAACACACCTTGTTAGATTTCTAAAAGCTAGCTACTTTTCAAGAGAAAAGAAACTTTACCAAGTCACCCTTGCACCAAACAAAAGTACTTTGTACTAAAGTTTTTTGAAAAAAGCTACAATGTACATTCCATGTCACCCAATTATCAACTTTTCTCACCCTAGGAATGTGGACATAAAAGGCCTCTCCTCTCTGCAACAACACAACCATGTAAGATTTTTCTTACAGATATACTGGAAATTCATTTAGTTTCGCTAGGGCTCAATTTCGTAGAAGGAAGGGGAAGGAGGGTTTGTTACTGTTTCAATTTTTTTCCTGTAGTTACCGTATAGTTTCGAAACAACGGACGCTGGATAGAACATTAGATTAGCCATATACTTGTAGAAAAACATGAAAGACCTGTTGGTATTACAATGTATGTGTATTATTCTACATGACTTGTACATGTAGTGAAGACGTTTTGTCCTACCTGTGGTGTCTGTCCCTCTCCATCTGTTCTATCACTCCAGGTGACTTGGGAACAGGTGGGGGAGGCGGCATGTCTTCTTCAGACACCTGCGTACCTGCAACAGGTGGGATAATACAGGTGAGTTAAACTGGAACAGGTGTGGTAAACAGGTGAGTTAAACTGGGACGTTTTGTGACATGCATTATCATCAACACTGTTGAAATCAATATTGGGCCCAAAGTCTGCCAATAATATCGGAATCTATAACGGTTTTAACCTGGTATACATAAGCAGTACAGCTCATAAGCATTTGGACATAATTGATTAAGTACCATAATTAGTATTTTAACCATATTCCTGCTGCCCTAAACCAACACCATCACCTATTTAGTGCTAAAAGGCTAAAATGTTAGCAGACTGAAGGTTAAGTACCATACCCATTGCCATATTACCTTATCGTAAGATCTAAGAGGTTGACATTCAAAAAACTTCCTTGAACTTTAACTTTTTTTCTCAAGACCGATGCAAAATTCCACCTTATCCCAGCAAGCTTTGACCTTCCACCTCTGACCTTCCCTACCTGGCTTGATGGAGGCGACCCTGACTGGGGGAGGAGGGGGTCGGGGGGGCAAAACTTTCATTTCTGGTTTTGAAGGTCGATTGGGGGGAGGGGGGCGCGGTGGGGGCTCCTGCGTCCTGCTACGATTGTGCTCTCCGTTCAAAGACCCCGTGCGGGCAATTCCTCCGGTCGCTCCCTCGGTAAAACCATCCACGTTGGTTACTACGACAACGGGGGGCGGGCTGCCGGGATCGGAGTACGTTCGCTTGTGACCTTTCATGTGCGCCGGGAGAGCGATTAGGTTCCCCTTGGTGTCCTTCCTGGTTTCACCTAGAGGACGTGACAGAAACAAACACACGACATGTAATAACCAACGGTAAGGCAGTACCTGTGGTGGACGTCCCTCGCACCGGTGGGGTGGGCGGTGGGCTCCCACGGGACGCCGGGTCGGACAGCGCCCGTTTGTGGTTCACCCCTGGGTTGGGGGGAGGTGCCACCGGGGGAGGGGGCGCTTTCTTTTTTAGGGTGCCCGTCCCCGAGGAGGTGGTGTAAAGCGGAAGCGTCATGGTGCCTGTGTTAGGCGTGTTATGGTAGTCTGGAATGGAAGAGAGAGAAAAAAAACGCACCCCGGTTAGTCTCACACCACCACCACCAAGCAGAGAGACAGAGAACAGGCATAAACAGTTTGTGATTCATGCGACAGGTTCAAGTGTGCATAAATTATAGAAACCACCACCACAAGTCATGACGTGCAAGTTGCAAAGTTGCATGTTCTGTGTACAGCTCAATGTAGGTTGGTCTCAAATAATCTGAACTGTAAAAAGAAAAGAGTCAAGCATGGGTACCAGGCTGATGATTTGACTTATTTGGGTGTATGTAGGCTTTGTTGCTTTTTCTGTTGTGAACATTTCAAAGAAAGTGAGTATGTAAAGCATGCATGGTGAGAGGTTAGTTTCAAATCCTGCATGCATCAAACAGTGGAAATATACAAAGACATGTGGGTCACCCTATTCAACCTGTGTAACACAAATGGTGATGATAATTATAAAAAAAACCTTGGTCAGCCCTACAATAAAAATCAGATTCTATAGGGCGCAAGGTTAAAAGACAAGCCATGCATCAGTTATCAAATAAATTTTGTATTTCACTTCATATACATTCTATTGCACATTATTTCTGTACCCGTTGCTACTACTTTAATTTGTACTATTGCACATGTGTATGAATGTCATTGGCTGGAAACAGCATCTACATGACTGTATTTTTTTCCCCATCTTGTTTTTTTGCACTCTCACATACATTTGGGCCTTGCAGAAGATAAAGGAACCTGGTTCATAAAGTTTACTTGCAGTTACTGTTATTTATCAGTAGCCTTACTGACACAGAAGCCATTCATGGTACAAAATACTCACTTTTAGTTCTGGTAGGAGGGGGAGGGGGTGCGGTGGATGGCGGGGGGATGGCGCTCATCAGCTCCCCCACGGTCGTGGACGGTCTCTGTCGCTCTCTCGTGGACGAGGATCGCTCCCGCATGAAGGGTTTCTCAGGTGTCATGGAGGAGAAGACACTGTGTGGCCGAGGGGCTTTCTTCTTGTCTGGGCTGATCTGTGGTGTACAAAAGAGAAGATGGGGAATTATGAGCCATGTCTAGGGTGGTTTAGTTGCCATATGTAAACTTTCCTGATGAAAATAAATGTCTAATTTTGTCAGGTATAGCTTAAGAGACTAGTCCTCACCTAAATGTGACAAAATATAATTCCATATTTACTCATACAAGTCAATGTATTCTGCATTCATAATTACTAGTTTGATGCTAAACTTACAAAAGTTGCAGTACTTTTTGCACCATACTCAAGAAAGCTTCTGTATCTAAAAGCATGGACTTGTTGCCACCAAGCACAGTTGGGGTATCATCATTAGAATAGAAAGCTTTAAACAACTCCTGCAGTTAAATGTGCAAATATTGGGTGTCACAGGTTGTTCAATGTAATATAGCTAGCTGCCGCCTCACCGCGTGCCTGCGAACCTGGTGTGTTATGCCAAAGGGTATAACTATACTAATAATATAGGCTATGCTGAATACAGATGGCCCTGATACAGATTCATGTTGTATAAGTTAGTACTCTGTCTTTTTCGTCGAGTTCATCGTCGCTGAAGTCGAGATGTCCGTCCTCGTAGTCTTGTGACAGCGCCCAGTCCATGTTGATGTTCTCACACAGCGTCAGCTTCCCCTGCGACGCCTGCTCAAGCTGCAACAGCAAGGTCAACTCAAGGTTAAAGGTATCCGATACAATTTCAGGGCAGCAAAACTGGGATGTTCTGAACCAAATATCATTAATCATTCACATATTTTCGACTTAGGCTGCAAAAACCCTGCTGCAATTAGATTGTGAAAAGCCAGGTGACCCATTTTCAAACTTGAACTTCATTTTCACAACAGCTACCCAAACACCAAAAATTAAAAAAAAAATCCACTGACAAATAATCGAGAATTAGAAATAACATTGACCTACATAAGGACCCACATCATGGCCAAACAGAATAATTATATACTTTTCTGATGAGGACAATAACACAATCTCTATGATATTGACATATACATGTACTGCGCCACATTAGCACTTTTGCATTTAGTGTTCCATACTTTGGGCATTTAAAACAGTGCAGAAACAAGTCCCAAGATGACTCCTTTGTATTCTGGGTGGTACCCTAAAAATAAGCCCAGGATCCTACTGGAAGCTGTTTTCTATCACAAATCTAGGCATTTTGCACTAGAATACTGGTATTTATTTTGTTTTGTTTGGTTGGAGGAAGGTTCTGAATGTGTAACGGTCACAAAGATCTGATGGTCAACGAAACACAGTAAGTCAAACTAACTCACCATTTCCTGGCAGACCCTGTGCTGTTTTCTCACAGACACAGCCAGGGCTGTTTCCCCATCATTGTTATCTGTGGAGGAAAAATGAATTCCATAACTAGAAAGTTATCTTTTATACATCTTTTATTGGCAACTGAGAAACTGATATACAGTGTATTTCAAGACCCTGACTGAAATAGTCCTGTCCTTGGTGCTGAAAGACAGTTCCAAATGTTGTCCAAGGGGGTTAGACATACAGGTACAACATAACGTAATGTTTTTCAACAAATAAATCTAGCAGAACTGGATAAATTCTCTAAGGAGTCAGACGTTTCTCAGTCACTGAAGAAAGATGGCAGATGCTTTCTTAAAACATTTCCTGCTTGTATAGTTCTTCTGACAGAAGTAGTTTTGAACAAGAAAGGTAACATTTGCAAAGAAAATGCACAATGTTTACCTTCGCATAATCTGCTCGGTTAATTCTTACTCAAACACATTCATATACATGGTCCGTGATAGGAGTCTAAATCCCTCCTGCTATAAAATTGCAACATGATGTAACCGAACACTAGTTACCATGGTAACAGACAGTCTGGCCCAGGTCATTGACCTTATTTGTTTGATGAAGAAGAAACACAGCAAAAACAATATTTTTTCCTTCTGCGAAGTTTAACATAAAAACCCTTACCAATGTCGAGTTTGGGCTTGCTCCTGAGGAGAAGCTTCATGCACTCTGTCTGGTCGTGTAGAGCACAGATGTGCAGCGGAGTGTTCCCTGCCTTCGTCTTCACGTCAAGGTTATTGCTGGGGCAAAGGTCAAACTTCAAGGTCAAACTATATAAAATGTGAGGACCCCATTCATATACCATCAGCGATGGTGATCATATGAAAGTGGGTTAGAATTGTGCATCATAGTGCTGTACTAGTACTACCGCTGTAACATACAGTATAACGTCATCGATGATTGCCAATAACAATATCACCACACAATTGCAATGTTTCACCCACAAGATAATCATCCAAAAACAGCTTTTTGTCTGGGGTATACAACCAATGACAAAAAAAATCAAATTCAATTGCCTAAAAGATGTCCAGATGTATTTGCCCACTCTACCTTCATGCCCAGTTTCAGGTCATTTGGTTTGACAATTAAGAAATTGAATCCAATGAATGAAATCGCAAGAGATGAAATGGAAGGAAAAACAATACATTTCATCCATACACATAAGGAATATAGAGTAAAATATAAAACCCCCTCACCTGTTCTGTACCAGGAAGTCGACCACATGTAGAGATGTTCCATCTTCCTGCATCATGGCAAGATGGAGAGCTGTCTCACCCTGGTCCTGAGATATAAAGTTTAGAAAAATTATTAATCTCATGTTTGTTTTATTTAGGATCTCCATAAGTATAAATAGTCAGCAGTGAATCAGCAGATAGTAGTACATGTGAAGCTGGACGTGCCCCTACTCTTTTTTGAAAGGTGTGGTTGGTTCTGTAACGTGCGTGGGGTGTGGCTCTCCCAAAACATGGGACCTCCATTTAACGTCCTATCCGAGGGATGTCCCCAACCGAAGCTATTAGTACTCATTTTCACCTGTCAGTGAGTGAAGTAATGTATAGTGCCTTTCCCAAGGGCACAACATCGTGGCATGTTTGGGATTCGAACCCAGAACCTCTAGATTCAGAGGTCAACAACCCAACCCTGTTTGTTTACACTCATGTACAAGTAATCAACAAGGTACAATGTACTTTGATCCATATCCTAAACAGGTCAGAAATGTGGACTTTAACCAAACATTACATGATAATGTAAGTCACAAATAGTGGAAATAATAAGGTATTTCTATGCTAATCCCTCCATTCTACACAGAAATTCCATGTACAGAAAACCAAGCATACTACTGACTGTACATATGTCAATTGTTTCTCTCTTTAGTGTTCCATAACTTTTTTTTTACATAATTTTACTCCTCTCCTTCCCCCTACATGATTTGTGAATGGTCCCTAAGTTAGTAGTTGGAAGTATCGGCCACCATGGGTGTAACTGCTGCTGCTCTGCTCTTAACACTTTTCTCTGCACTCAGTTGTGGCCACACCACACAACAGGTATGAAATGTCTGAGTTAGATGTTGAAGATACCACTTAATGTTTATCATGACCCCCCAATTTCTTTGTATACAAAGCTGGTAGGGTGAATTTGCAGTAGTACATAGTGACTTTTGTGAGAAGCTGGCACATGCCGGCCTTTTGTAGCATTTATGAGTTGGTACTGTACTAAGTTCTGGAGTTTGATGGACCATCGGCAGCCTGGGTGCCATCCTCCGTAGTTACCGCCGGCTTCCTACTGTCACTAGCTACCATGGAGTATGGAGGATGGCACCCAGGCCATAGCCTTGGAGGAGGTGATTTTTTTTGGAAAACAGGTGAAAATCAATGCATGTCAATGCCCATAAAATTCAGTGTGGCCTTATATTTTGACTAGGTGTGTCTTCAGACAAGCTACAGCGAGGATGGTCAGTGCAACTTCTCATTTGTGCTCCCCCCGCTATCCTGTCCATCAGAGCGATCAGGAGAGGAAAAAGTGACCCAGGAGCTCGATCAGATAAAACAGGGCCTCCTCGAACAAGTGGAGGAACTTAAACTGCAGAATCAGGGACTTAGCACCAAGGTATGTTTTGTCAATGTAACCAATTTAGACTAGTAACTGTCATGTTTACCTAATCGCAGAAGGAAAACGTCTTGTTTTTGCTCTGTTTCTTCTTCTTCTTCTCCAAACACATAAGGTCAAAGACCTGGATCAGATGGCACTATCACCATAACTGGTGGTGTAGCAGACAGCTGTGGTGCTGGATTACATTATGTAGCAAGGGGCAGGACAGAGTTGGAGGGGCTAGTCACCATTTACTTGTATATGGTGACTGTTATATAACTTTTTCACTTGTTGACATACCTTACAGTCGGTTTTGTAGTTGTGTCTACAATTAAAATTCTCAATTTAAGTGAATAAACCACAACTGGTCATTAATATTGAAACTGGTCATTAATATTGAATCTGGTCATAAATATTGAAACAGGTTGAAGAGTTAGCTGAAGAGCTGAGTAAACTGAAGAGGACGGGAGGGGGGCAGACTCAAGTGGACCCTTGTGCTGAAGGGCATCGCCTGCCAGGTCAGAGTCCATACTTTCTTGCATGTAAAATTTCTGCATAGTTATCAGATGTCCTGTGATATAATGTAAATTATGTTATATTTGTGGCTCTGAGAAAAATGGACATGTTTGCGGAACTGTATGTTCACACAGTGTACATGTATGTATGCTGGGCTGTTGGGTAAGGGGGCGAAGTCTGCCATCTCTGATTGCCTTGTTTGTTTCCCAAATATCCAGGTGTGTTGTCGTGTTACCAGCTCTGGAAGCTGGGGTGTCGTGAGTCAGGTCGGTATGTGATAGACCGGGATGGGCCAGGATTTGGGGAGAAGCCAGTCGAGACGGAATGTACCTTTGACAGCCAAGGAGACCTTGCAGGTACATATCAGTCTTTTTCCCCCTACCACACAATTTTTTGGAAGTCCAAAAGGAAACAAAAGTTAGACAAGTCAAGACAAGGACAATACAAATTACTCAAATAGCTCCTGTTGTTTCAGAACAAGAATTTACGTCTCCAGTGTCACTGACAAAAGGTAGTGGATGCTACCTGAAACGTCTGACCATGTCCAAAATCATATCCACTGTTTTTTGGTGTATCTTATTGCCTGAATGTCTAACCTTGTTTTCTATATGTGCCTTGTATCAGTTCTCCCCAGAACCTGCACTGATGTACTACAGAAAGGAGAGACCAGGTCTGGGACATACACCATCGACCCTGACGGACCTTACCAAAGTGTTCCACCCTTCCAAGTCTACTGTAACATGACAGCTGAAAATGGTGCAGGTATAGTAATTAAGCTGCTAGGGGGCGCAAATGTACAACACTTATTTCTGAAAGCTATCTGCCACCATGGAGTTAAAAGATCGGAAGGCCTTGTGTTTCTACCTCCATGCTGCCACCGAATCATCCTAGCATTGACAGAACAGAAAAAATCTGAAACAATGGCACTTTTGCTGCAGTATAGAAAGACACTGAATACACTAAAAACAATTATCTTACTTCCTTTACACTCAATTTACAGACTGACTTTTGAAACTTGCACCAAACAACACATTTTTTTTCCCTAAACACAAGAGGAAAACCTATGTGTACTATTCTAAGCCTACACACTGAAGTAGTTGTTTGGCTTCGAATTCTGGGGTTCGGCAGCTGGGAGACACACACACAAAATCATATACTAGTACACAGACGGACACACACACTCATGTAGACATTAGTAGTAGTACTCCAAAGTCATCCAGTTGCTTGAGTAACTGCTTTTTGGCGTATCATATTACCTGGATGTCTGACCTTCACAGATGCACTAAAATTTTAATAACAAGATTTTTCTGACCAATTTCTTGTTGTTAGGAGTGACAACCATCGGCCATGACAGCGAGGCGCGTACACACGTGCAAGGGTTTGAGCAAGCCGGCTCCTACAGACGGACCGTGACATACGACCACGCAACCATCGACCAGATCAGAGCTTTGATCGACGCTTCCGAGTCATGCAAGCAGTTCATCAAGGTAATGGCTGCTCTTTTCTGAAGTGGTAGCGTGCGTAGTCCAGTGGTTAGCGACCCTGCCTCTGGACCAAGAGGTTGGGAGTTCGAATCCCGACAAAAAGGAACTTCACTGGTACAATGTACATGCCAATGATGGTATTGTTGAAGCTAATAGCAACTTGACCTAAATGCATGTAAACTACATGTATAATTATATGTTTCAGTACGAGTGCAAGGGGTCTATTATGTATGGGCCAGACTTTAAAAATGACAACAGGATCGTGTACTACGCTTGGTGGCAGACCTGGGATTGTAGGGAGGCCTACTACTGGGGCGGGGCATCGCCTGGCAGCCAGGACTGTGACTGTATGGTGACAGGTCAGTATACTAGTATTTACTACATAGGGGATACTCAAGATCATGGTAATGGCTTCTGCCTCTGGAAATTTTTGCACCTCCATGTTTTTTTTCTTCTTGCATTTCTGTGCTTTTTCGGAGCTGACATCATGGGGTGCCATCAGCTCAGGAAAAATTACAGACATGAAAAATTAAATGCAGAGACGCAAATGTCTGCCAGGACTGGCTTGTGGTGACTTTTCCATCCAAGGCAGGACATTGAAATTACAAATTAATGTAACAGGAGAACTGTGTATAGTTATTGTAAACTTGTCTGTTAGCCAGTTGTGTCAACTACAATCAGATAAGGTTGTATTTCATGAGCAGTTTAAAGCCATGAGCACTTAAAGTCCAAGAATTTTTGCCCACAGGCACCTGTGACAACCCTGACCACCCCTGTAACTGTAACATAAATGACGACGTCTGGCGCCAGGATTCCGGGTTCCTGACACACAAGGACGATCTTCCCGTCAAACAACTACGGTTTGGGGACACCACGGAACCGGAAAATGGCTACCATACACTGGGAAAACTCATGTGCTTTGGTTAGAAACCGTTTAGGACTGCTGTTAGCAGTTTGAGAGCAAAACCAAAAGACATGAACTGTCCTTTATTCCATGAACACTAAAACTGTACTACCACTATAATGGCAACTGATTCTTACAATTTACTGCTTCCTAACAATGTGCAATTCCTGTAATTTTACTTACCTCTACATTGAGAACATAATATATCTATTGTCTGTTTATAGCCTTTTAACCTAATTCGTATTAAATTTTGTGGTATTATCTGGTCTGTGTATTTTACATTTACATTTCATCTTATGTTCCCGGGTTCGAATCCTACCCATGTCACTGATCTTCTGCTCTCGGGAAAGGTACTTAACACGACTTTCCTCACTTAAGTCAAGTGAAAATGAATAGTGTCTGTCCTGTATTTGTTTCTATGTGTGGGACACAACACCAGCAACAGCTGCCTGTGTCCCACGTGTATTGTACTCTGACAATTTCAATAAATAAAATCCCAACTTACACTTCAGGCTGTTCCTCCTAGCCTTGTTATTTAGTATCAATTATGAGGTAGTCTATTTTTTTTCTGGACCTCTGACTTCCAAATGCGTTATTTTTACTATGTATATATATTTACTTCACACTGTACTTGAAATTATGTGCCCTATGTATTTTGTCCTTATATGTTGACTCTCTAATATCAGCTTTGCTGCCTTGAGAGTCAGTGTAATGTCTTGTTGCATTTTTCAATACATAAAATCAACTTACATAGCCTGGGAGAGGAGCTGTCATATCCACCCCTTCGGCAAAGACTTGCAGAAGGGCGAAGATGTCACGCGACAAGACAGCCTGGCACAGGTCCTGAAGCATCATCTCGTTATCCGAGCACGTCTTCATCGGAAACTTGTGTTGGACGTACTTTTCATGGATAAACTCCTTCCTCTCTTCCCTGGGGGAACCAACATAAAAATTCATTCAAGGTGCTAAGCAAACTCCACACAAACGGGTGTTATAGTTCTCTCCCCCAACTACTTTTTCTGAAAGCCACCAAAGTGGTTACTGTAAAAGTGTAACATGTATTTTCAAATACATGTAGTCAAAAGTGTCCTTTTTTGCAAATAGTCAGCTTGCTGTAGCTTAAGAGCAGGATAGATAGAAAGCATGAGAATTTGAGGGAGTTTCAGTCAAAAATCAAGTAGAATATCTATCAAAGGTGAAAAAGAAAGGAACTATTTTACAGTGAAAATTGTTAACACAGCTTGTCTGGTACAAAAGTACATGTATAATGTACTAGACTAAGTATAGTATTTAGTCACAGTAAAGATGTACCAAGTTTGGTTAATGTCTGAAAACAGCTAAAATTTAGCACCATCATCAGAGAAGTATCATATCTCTCTTGAAATTCACACAATTTGCTTATAATTGCTTACTTAATATCTGTCTGAAATTTTTATATCATCTGCAGTTTTTAAGCTGTAGAGAGCACTTTTCAATGTAGCTACTTGAAGTACAAAGTTGGAATGATAGAATTTGAAAGGATAGCTTGATACATAGTGGCCCATTCAGACTCAAGTAGTTGGGGCAGAGAGCAAGTCAAGAATTAGTCAAAGACAGAAATAAGGGGATAAATAAAAAATAATTAGTACAGTTACTGTAACAGTAGTATTCACAGGCACATGGGGACCATTCATGAAGCATGCTGACTGCAGTTAACGAAATCTGAATGTTCAAATACCCTGGTACAAAATTATAATGTCATTTATGTCAAATACTTGAAAATTTGTAATTGTAACAGGGTAAATGAAGCAAAAGGCAGCAATATACTACACAGATTATCTTGTATATTACATGTTTTGTCTTGTACATTTGTGTAAACAGTATACTATACTTCCTTTGTTTGAACCTTAATTGTATATTCTGCATTGAGATTCTGCATTTTAAATGGCAAATATTTCTGTGCAAAAGCTGCTTGTCATATGGTACGTAGTAGCTGCTAAGTTATACAGTTTCTGAGATCTGAATTTCATTTTCTTGTGTAGTGTAGTACTGCCTTTGATAACATAGAAGAAATATTCTGTAAAACACAATATGGTTTAATGGTACACATAATACAATGTACATGTACAATACAAATAGGTTGCAAAAAGTCAGTCACATGCATGCATTATGTATCAGTTGCACTGGCTTGCACATCCACAACTATATACACCTAGAATGCAAAACGAAATAAAAAAAGAAAAGACATCAATCATTTTTCGGGCTTCAAGCACGGAAACGTTGTAATATACCCCTCGGACGCGTCAGTTTCCGACGGCCATTGCTGAATAACCGAGCACAAATCGTGCAGGGACATCTCTGTGGCAAATTTGTGGTGGACGTATTTGTCCTGGATAAATTCTCGCCGCTCCTCCCTGCATTGGGGACCAGTGGGTTAGTAGGCAGCACTACTGCAGCAGCAACCTTACCACCCCTGCTACATGACATGGTACAGGCCAGGTGAGTGGGCGGGTCGTGCCATTCATCAAACACGGGGGTTTCAACATGAATTATGATTTTAAACACAACTACAGCACAACCTTAACACCCCCGCTACATGACATGGTACAGGCCAGGTGAGTAGGTGGGTCATGCCATTGATCACACACGGGGGGTTCCAACATGGATATTATGAATGAAAAACAACTAAATTGTTATAAAAACTTCAAATGAAATAAATCAAACAAAATAAAATCTACCAAAAAAACAACTCAAATTGTGATATGAAATACAAACCAACATAGGAAAAGGGTAGGTTGGGTTATGAGCTTAAACATAACCATCAACCTTCCCTTACCTATGAACAAAATGTAATGAGCGAAATAGAAAGATATGCTCTCAAAGCAGTTAAAGATGAACACAAACAGGTGAAAACAAAAACAGCATAATTAATACCACAATGTTTGAACAACGTCACAAAATTTGTCACTTTGATTGAAGATTTTGCTTTCATTGGCATTACATGGTAACAGTGATGTAATAAAAAATAAGTTTTGTTGACAGGTTAAATCACAAAAATTCAGTGAGTTCTTCTTGAAATCTTAAGATTGAATGCTAATGAATCACTGAAATGCTGAATAAGTCACAACAACAATTTTGGCTGGAAAACACAGAAGTATACAAACATGTATTAACAAAGGCAAACAATGAAACAAGTGTAATGACATGCTTACACATATACTTTGTTAGATCACATTTCTACCACAGAATACATGTATTACATTCTGTATGGGATGTAAGGTACACAAATGTCATGTACATGTACTACAGGCAGTTAAGAAATGACTCCCCAAATCTCTAACCGTGCTACATGTACAATGTTAATGCTATCTAAGAAAAAAGAATATGCAATGCAATACCTGAATGTTTTTTTGACTCTGTTTGTATCATGCAACTGTGCTACAATAACATGCATTTGTTTGATTGCACAATGCAGTTTTTGAGAAAGTTGTCTATTTTGCTCACAAAACTGCCACTGGTACCTGTACGTTATTATCCTACCAAACAGGCATACTATTTCATGACAACGGGATTCATATCTTACTGATGACTAGTATCTTTTTAATCCTGGAATATTGGATAATGTACATGAACTTACATGGTGCTGTTTGCAGTTGGTTTCTGGGAAGGGTCCAGACGAGATTCCATGATGTCATTGAATCCCATGTTCCCCACAGTTCTGGCAAGCTAGTGTAAAGAGACACATACATTTGTAAATGTAGTAAGTCTTTCTTTATTCTTTATTTCAGGCATCCATGGCCCATAAAAAAAACAAAAAAACATACAAATACATTGAGAGCAATGAGATGTAAACAATGTCTTTTTAACATAAGGACAGCAAAAAGTGAATTTATGTATTATGGTGTTGTATCTACCATTGAAGTACAGTTAAACTTTTTTGAAAAGCCCAAAAGATTTCTTTACCTGTTATGAAATACATTATCAGTCACTCACCAGTAGTTCTGAAGTGTTTAAGACGTCCAGTTCTAAAGACTGTGTTCTGGAGATGTGAACTCCCAAAGCCCGATGGACTCCAGAACATTCTATACACAGCAGGACACCCAGGTTGGTGGACAGCCACGTGGGATCTGGAAAAATACCATTGTTACAAAAAGCACTGTATGGGTATTAAGGACTATGTATGTGAGGACCACAGTGATATCCCATTTTGGGGTGGTCAGAGGGTATTCAAGAAGAAGAAACACTTAATATTTGAGGAGCACTACATGGAATTTTAAGGTGGATATGGAACAGTCTATTCTGGAATGAGAGTACAGACAAAAATATGCTGTATTTGCTTCTGAGCAAATATCTGCCTTTCTATTTTGCAGTGTGTTTTCCCTGTCCTTGGTGCTGAAACTGTTTCGAACTTGTTGTCAGCAACATTTGCACTAAAATGTATGTCTGGTCTTAATAACCCAAAACTTGCATTTACTGAACAAAGCTAGTGTGTTACTGAAGAAAGCTAGTGCTAGGCCTTCCTTCTGCGAAGGTTAACATGAAAACAAACAGTTACTGACAAGAGTTATCCGCCATACCTGGAGCGTTGCAGTCACAACACTGCCCGTTGCCCGGCATTCTCTTCACCTCGGAGATGATGTTCTGTCTGAGTTCTGCCACACTGTTCTCCTCGGAAGACTGGCTGGTTTTGTTCTCCCCAAACGCATTGTTCAGGGCCTCCTCCTTACTGTTTGATAACACTGACATCCATCTGAAAACAACAAATACAATCACTAATCTTTCTATCGTAAAGCCTTCTACAACTATAGTCAAACCTGCCAAAGCTGGTCAGCCGGCCTAACTGCAACCGTTACTGTATTTCTAGTCTGAATCAGGTTTTGAATCATATTCTCAAAATAAGAACAGTTAGGATACAGTCATATCATCTTAATAATACCCTGGGCTTCCTTATCACCAATGGTTTATGATGACACTGTTTCTGTTCAAATATCGCTGTCCTTGGTGCTGAAGACAGGTCTAAGCATTGGATACAGTTCAAACAAAATGTGTGATTTAAGTCTCAATATGTGCTTTTCATTAAAAAAAAACAGCTGATTAGAAGATCATACTCACTGCAGCATATCATCTTCATCCTCTGCCTGGAAGTGGTACGTTCTGTTGTCTGGAGAAGTAAGAAAGCAGAACATGGAGTGACAAATTTTAAACAAGTTTACACTAAGTTTTACTACCAATAACAACAAAAAGTGATAAGTGATACTTCTGACAATCAGATCAGAACTGTTTAGTATGACACTGTAAAATGACTGTAAAAAGACTTACAGGAAATGAGGTCAAAGCACTTTTTGTCCTCTGGGACAAGTTTGACCTGGCAAGTCAGGAGGTTCAGCTTGGCTGGGGGCTTGGTGGACTGGAACAAAGGAGCAAAGAATCAGCTTAAAATCAACTCATATTCTAGATTTCTGGCCAGCACTCGTAGATTCAAAAACAGAATCAAATAAAATAACAGTTTTAGTGAATGCATTTCAGCACCAGGAACATGCTTTGAATCAGATTCTAAAAGTTAGAACAGTCTAGAATGACTCCAGATACAGTCATATCAACTAATATTAGTAATAATTCCCTGGGGCTTATGATGACACTGTTTCTGATCAAATATTCCTGTCCTTGGTGCTGAAGGCAGGTCTAAGTGTTGGATACAGTTTGTACAACATAGCATTCCTACTAACAGGGCTATGCCTATCTCTCTCTTGCTGAATATATACTTACAGTGGAATGAGCGATAGTAAGGTATCCATTCTTAATGGTGCATCTTCTCTTCTGCCACACTTTTCTTAGTCTGAAAAACAGAGTACCAAGTCATTACACACTCTAAGTAACTTAAAATAGTAAAGCAGCTGCTGTATTTGAAAACTTCTTTGAAATTTTGCTTGATATTTTCATGTGATTGAAGTTTTATGAATGTAAGTGTTGTGTTATGTGCTTTTGTGATCAATATATATACACTGTGTTTTCACGAATCTAGGAGGAATAGATTATATTTGGTTTGTTTGTTTATTAAAGAATCACCATTTTCATGTCTAATCTACTGGATTTCCAATAAAACACGAAAATCTTTTCATTATGTTCTTACCCATCCCTTCTCTTCTACAGAAAGCCAGTCATCTTTGACTTAATTTGAAAACTCCTTTATGACTAAAAGAAAAACCACTTTATCTTGTCCTTACCCGTCGCTTTTCTTCTGCAGAAAGCCAGTTTTCTCGCAGCCGTGCGCCTTGTTGCCTTGCATCTGATGCAGCTGGTATCCCGGCGTCTGGTTCAGCGACTGCGAGCTACTGGTGGTGCTCGTCTGCAAAAAGGAGTGCGAGTAGTCCACTAGGTGCTGAGAGAGCCTTCTCTTGGAGGAGGCGAAATGCTGTTTGCTAATTCTGCTGAGGGTGTGGGAACGGGACAGCGGCGGAGACTGGTGGAGGGAGAGTCCATTCCGCCAAGGGGGGTGTGCGGTTTCACGGAGGTGCAAGCGAGGGTGAGAGAGAGGAACAAAGAGAAAGGGAAAAAAAAATTTTGAACCAAAGAAATAATAAAGTTTGGAAATCAAAGCAGAAAAGTAACCATAATGATAAGAAGGCAAACAAGAAATCGCAAATAATAGGGAAATGATGAAAGTATTTCAGGGTTAGAAAAAGAAAGCATTTTTGAAACACAGTTCAAGTAAGGAAAAAGGGATTTTACATGTACGGTCGATGTGAATGACAGAATTAAGTGTAAAGTTAGAATATTTAGAAGACATGAGATGGACAGGGTGAAAAGGACAAAAAATGGAAGAAGAGAAAAGAGTTCCACATTAGATATGAGCAAGAGAATTGCAGACAGAACAGAAAAGAAACTCTTGAAACAAAAGATGCACAGAACAGAAGACAAGCAGAGGAACTAAGCAGCAAAGCAAATAGAACAAGAGAAAGCCTAGAAAGGGAGCAAGCAGCCTAACTGTTACAATCTTACCTTTCTGACTATCATTGCATCAGCCACCATGCAAATTACCAACGAAAGAGCAACCATTTCAAGAATTTGTGAATTCAAACCTTTATGCATGTGTTAGCATAAAAGCAAGCTGTGCTTTTTTCTATAAATCTTTGACAATACAATTTTTGACTTAATATTAACGTAGGACAAATGGTTCTTCACGTTATGTCAACACAGTGGCTCAAAGCATGCATATTTGAATGCTGCTTTTTGAAGAAGTAAACAACTCCTAACCTCTTTCTCCTTGTCAATCTGCATGGAGGATCTCAGCTGGTTACGAAGTTCCACTAGCTGTTTCTTCTCTTCATCCTGTGATCTTTTAATCTGAAAAACAAACAAAGTAGAACATTTTTTTAAGGCTCTCGTGTGCAAATGTGCTGATGTTGGCACATTGGCGCACCAAATCCATAGCGTGTTTTTGGTTTAGACATATTAGCCTGAAAGAGGCTCGGTGGGTGTCACTCTACCGTCAAGGAAGTTGTGCAAAGTGCCTTTCCCAAGGGCACAACGTTGGGGCATGGTGAGTATCGAATCCGGGACCTAACCATTGAGCCACCGAAACCACAACGGCAACAACAGTCATTGCAGAAAACATCCTACAAATGTATTTGCAAGGGATCTGACCACTTACTCTCTGTAGTTCTGTGCTGAGTTTGTCCACGTATGACTTGAACTGTTCTACTGTTTTCATCCCATCTGCAAAGTAACTGAAAGCAAGACAGAAAGATTTGTTCAGACAACACTTTTAGACAGTATACCAGTGAGACTTGTCACATGGCTTCTCAGAAGTGTGATGTCAACACTGGGTCAAAGGTATCTGGTAGAAGCCATGTGACAAGTCTCACTAGGTCAGTCTATTGAAGAAGATCAGAGTGACTGGTCAAAAGCTCTAGGTAAGAACAATCTCTTGTGTAACAGTTGTAATTACCAACACAGATGAACTTTCATATTATATTTTATGATAAGCAAGGCAAAAGGAAAATTATGACTCCCTGTCCACATACTTGTTCTGTGCATGATAGTACTCCACAAGATGCTGAAGCAGGTCTGCTCCTTTCTTGGTCTTGATCTCGTTCACTTTTATCAAGTACTGAAAAAGAGAAAAATGTATAACATTTCAAACTTTGATATTTCCTACAACACAACCTTTGTTAGAGAAGACGAAACTACAAGAAAATTTAGCAAAAGCAGGGAGGTAAAAAACCATAGAACTTTCTTCAAAAAGGTTTGGCTAAAAAGGTACTATATTTACCTCACACATCTGCAGCTGAAACATTCTTCTTTCCTTCTCCATCTCTTCTGCCACCTACAAACATATATAACAGTCAAACTTGTATTTGTGAGCTCCCTGCAACTATTTTACCTATTACAAGCAGGAATGGTTTAATCCAACCTATCATCAATAGACAATCTGGACTGTACCATTTCATAAAAAGGTGAAGAAGAATAATTACCACTCACCTCTGCACCAGAGACTTCAGTTCTTATTAGTCCTGCATCCTTTGCAAGTTGCTTCTTTTCTTTCTCTATCTTGGAACTACACAAATAAAGACACACAATGTAAAATTTGCAATTCCTGAGGCTCAAATTGTAAAGAAAAAAGAAGGACTTATGAACATGATCGTGTTGAAAACTTACTATTTGGCATCATATTCTTTGGAAGCCTTGTCAAATGGTTTCTTCAAGTCCTAGATGAAAGATGAAAATGACTTGTGAGCATTTTTAATACATGTACCTCATTATTAATAACAATTTACAAAACATTGAATTTACATCAACATTTTTGCAATTAACTATAATGATGCCTTGAAAATGAAAGGCCACCGATGTTAGTACTTACCCCTTTGATTCCTTTTAGGTCGCCCTTCAATAAGGAGTCCAGTGGGAACATCACTATGTTGTTCAGGTTTTGTACCTGTGTGCACACAAAAAAGTAAAAGATATTTCGTAAAAATTTTGATAGATGTTAGTTTTGAATTTACAATTTTTATGTTGTTTCAGTATCCCTAAAAGAGTGCATCAATGCTTTATACAGTGATAACAGTACAGGTTGCTGCATTGCTTTTACAGATAAGGGTGGAGTACTGCAAATCGACAACAGGAGGAGCTGCTACAATGGCTGCAAAATGCAAGACTCTCATCATCATCATCCTTTGTCTTTATGGAGTACAATCTACAAAAGAAGTAGCAGCTACAATGGATTACCGTAAAAAATACCTTTTGTGATACTTCAATATTGAGTAATTGGAGAAAACATCAATTTTCCAGTGAATTTCTCATTATACATTATATGCAAGTGAAAGAAGACATCCAAGTCATTCATGTAGACTATGAAGAGAATAATTTCTTCATTCTCACCAAGCTTTTCATGAGCGCTGTCAGCTCTCTGGTGAAAACGGAAAACTTCAGAAATGCAGCTCCTGTAGGGTGAAAGGTCAAACAAAATCATTCCTACTGTAATGTGAAAAAAATTCATCTGTATGCATGTATTCACAATTTTTTTGTATCCATGGCACCAGTAATTCACTAGTTAAAACTATATTTTATCTGCAACTAGCTTTGTAAACCATTACTTTAAAGTTTGGTAGGAAACTTTTCAACATAAGATATGGGTGTCAGCAATGCAAAAGGCTTTGATAGACCTATGTAATTTGAATTCAATCTAGGACAAACTTCAAAATCCAATGAAACTACTGTATATATATAAGTTGTAATGGTTCAGAGTTTCCATTAATAAATGTAGATATTATCAAGTATGTCTGTATTATTATAATAAAACATATAAAACCATAAAAGTTAGGAAAGACTCCTACTGTGAAAAACATGTCAACAACACAATCTATTATAAGAACATTCATGCAGTAAGCTACATGTGAAAGCAAAACAAACATTATTGTTTCTAACTACTGTTTTTTTATATTTCCCAACAACCTGTTAGAAAGTAAACAAACTGAAAAGTTATACAACATTGTAGTGTTAATTGAGAAACCATCACTAATGACAGAAAATGTTACACACTGTAAACATGGTTAAAACAACACATTCTACACTCTATTGCATAACAAGTCAACAGTTTTAATAATTTCTTAGTAAAGATATCTTTTCACAGAACCCATTGCATGCTGGGACATGCAAGGCACACTGGGTAATTCAAATCTGGTGAACAAAATCATTACCATGACAACATCTGACCAGATCAGTCACAGTACACATGCTTTTGTCATAGTATCAATGATGTTGTTTGCCACCTATATTACCCATACTGCCTCAGTCTTCCCAGCATGCAATGGGATCTGTCAAACTGGTCATTTAATGGCGTTGTGCTACCATAATTTTATGGTACAAGAAACTCGAAACCCTATACTTCAAAACTGAACCAGTTGCATGCCCTTTATTAAAACATAGCTTTGCATGTATATGGTAAATACATCAGCCGTATAAACCCAAAATATTTCACAGCCAAACTGGAGTTCACAGCCTTTTTATCACATCTATGAAGTAATTAAAGAGAGAACACCGTTATCACTACTTCCCTATGATGGCACGTTGATCTAGACGTCCAAGGAAGCCATGAATAGTTAGAGAAAGAGAGAGAGAAAGGAGTTACACATACTACATCTAAGAAATCTAGAGACAGCACCACTAAACTCAGCTTAACTGCTCTACTGTGGTTGCAATTCCACCCTTGCTTGTGTGACATGCCAGAAGTCTTATAACAGTTTGAACAAGGAACAAAAATCCTCTATAAAGCCATTTAATTGGCATGTTTACTGTACAATTTATGTGAAATCAAAATATACTTCTATCATTTGAATAATGAAGCCAAAGCTTCAAAATTGCTGTTGAAATGTAAAATTGCTGGGGTTTCGGGATCATTCACACATTTTGTGAGTTTGTTATTTGGATATCTTTTAAGTTATACATGTACATGTATATCCTTTAAAAGAAAACGCTTTATTTCTAAAAAGCTTTCTTTCTTGCAAAAAAATGCTATGGGTTCAAGTTTGCATGATTAATTTTAGTACTGCTTTAGTTAGTTTGCCAACTGTATTTCCAACGAGCTTCATTCTTTTTAGTTAAACTGAAACAAGCTTAATTCTTACTTGCAAAAATGCTTCTACTGGGTTCAAGTTTGTATGAATTTTAGTACATTAGTACTGCTGACATGCCGCACAGGTCAAAGATAAAAGGCCACGACACATACATGTTAGGGTAATGGAAGCATGGTATTTTCCCAAATATGCAAATGAGTTCTTATTTGCATATTTGGGAACAATACCATGCTCCTGTTACCCATGTTAGTAGTGGTGTAGTAACAGTAGTGGTGAGTGCTGAGAGATTTCTACACTGATGTCCAGTCGACAACCACATACCTACATACTCTGCGGTATCTTTAACAAGCAACCGCCACCAGCCAAGAAAACAAGAGAGCATCAGAATACATCAGTCACAGCATTCCAACATACATAGGTGTCCAGTGTGTGTTCATGTGTATATGTGCAGGGGTTTGATACAGTATGCCAAAAAAAAAACAACAGTTACTGAAGCAACTGGATATGATTTTGGAAACGGTCAGAAGTTTCAGGTAGCATCCACTACCTTTCCTCAATGACACAGTGATTTTATTACCTTGATGTCTAACCTTCACCGATGTTTGATACAGTGTTTAAAAGAATACAGTTTTTTGTACAATGGAACTTGCATCACTGACAGCAACCTTATAATGTTATCATGTCACAAAGTTAAGCCTGGGTGCCAGACTGTTGTCAGTGCCAGAACACAGGCCAGCCCCTCTAACTGTATGTACTGAGGTGCCCTGTATACTGGCCTTGACAACAGTCTGGCACCCAGGCTAAACTGTCAATGGGAAAAAAGTGTGTATGGTTAGCAAATAATAACAATCTCTGGCAAACTTTTACAATAATTCAAATTTATCAACAAAACTACATCACATAGTCATTAGTTTTTTCAAAGGACAAATACTACATTTGTACGTGTACATATAAGTGTTTTGTGGCTCCACGCACTATGGAAGAATACAATTCACGTTACCTTCAAGAAAAAAAGTGGTTGAACAACAGTTATGCTAGCTAGAACAAAGAAAGCCCTGTCCTGCTGGTATACATACCTATATCAGGATCATGGTCCCGGGACAGAGCGTTGTTTCCCAACTTTTCCATGTTCTCACTGAACATGGTCTCATTGGCAACATGGCCTGGAAATACACAAAATATACGAGACAATCAGACATGACAGGTAGTTGACCTTAAATGTAAATGAAAGATGCTGTATATTTTTTGGCATCAATGAAGCTGTTTTTGGACTTCCCAAAAGTTGTCTTCTCTAATTTGCATATCAATCAATAGCTCATGCTTATAAACCTGCAAGATTGTAGTATGGAGGCTTGTGTATTTGCAGAAAGTATTTCCAAATTGCAGAACAAAATTTTGACTCTTCTGCAATATTGCAGAGCACTGAAAAAAAGTATTTCGACCACTGATTCAGTCAAGCAACAAAAGGTGGACAACTAAGTCAGATAAAATTGAGAAAGCTTACTTGTTCCAGAGGTGACCATGGCCTTGACTGACTTCTTCATCTTGCTGAGACCGCTTCTGTCCAAGTCCAAGGTCTGTGGAGACATCAAACAGAGAGGAAACTGTAAATTGGAGTTTATAATTGCAAACAGAGGGGGGAAAATACACAAACATATGGGCAAGTGGGGAAAGTTACACCTTAAATTTTGTTCTTAAATTGTTCTTTTTGACTCGACGTATGGTAATGGAATTGAGACTTTTGAGTTACTTTGTTAACTAAACTTTCATTTACTATGTGTTACAGTTTCTTTATGTTTAGATTGATATTATGAATAAGTATTAATGAATTGGTTTCTGGTATGAGTTTGTTTCTGTTCTTGTAAAACCTGTGCCATGCAAGTCTGTGTATTGTACTTGTTTTTTTTTAAAAATCTAATAAAAATAACGTGGAAAAAAAAACAGAGAGGAAACTACATTAGAATGGCATTACTCAGATTGGATTCAACATAGGATCAATCGCAATAGATTTAGTCCATGGAAGGCTGCAGGTAGAAATTCTGCCAGTCTTTCAGAAATTGAGGTGACATTTTCAAACCAGGGCCCAGCCGGGAGGTCTTATGGAGTGAAAGGTATGATATAAAAGACAACATAGTAAGCACAAAAAAGTTGAAAAATTAATAATGGAAACTATTTGCATATATTATATGGATATAAATTGTTGATTTTTCGTTAATCAAAACAGCCCGGCTGGACCCGGTTTGGAAATGTGACCTCAGCATAACGGGTGGACAAAAGTAGTTTTTTCAGCTCTAAATACCTGATACACAAATATATGTATCTAAGACTACATGTACAAGTATATTCTCTACTAGCATATCATAATATATCATGACTTAAAATTGGTACTTTGAATATAGTGTGACTTTATTTTTTGGGGTGTTTAACAGCAATATTACATTACAATTTACATCAAAATATATTAGATGTGTCACTGCTGAGATACTAGTAGCCATAGATAATTTCTTTGGTTATAGAGTTAGGCAGCAAGGAGAAGGTAAATTCCAAATCCTGCTAAAACCTTCAACAATAAATGTCATTACAATAATAATATTATAATTACGACGTCCTAGAATTTTCCATCTACACAACAGCCAGCACAGGTCAATACATTTCATTAAGGTAGCGATGGCCGTTCTAGCAACATTACGTCAAACAGTCTCCAGGGGCTGTTTTCTATTGGACATCAGATTCTATCAGTATACCAGCTACTGTGCATGTAAGGCCACACCAATTTAATTTGTTGGTTCTCTGATTTGTTTCAGAAAAAATATGAAGCGACAGGGCAAAAAACCCCCAAAAAACAACAGGTCTAGGCATCCTATTATAGCCCCAAAATACTACAATAGGAGCCATGAAGTCAACAAAAAAGGCTGGGTTAATATAAAAAAAACAACAATTTTTGAACTTTTAATCAAACCACTGCATGGATAGATGGAAAAACTGTAACAAGTAGGAAGAAAATCACTTTCCTCAAAATATTAGCATTTTTATCTCTTTTTAGTTATTTTTCTACTGTCCCAAAAATTTAAAAAAGGGTCTTTTCAGTTGTCTCGGCCTATATTTTCGTGGACAGTGGCCATCGGGACACCGTTAATTTCGAGTCCTGATTATGAGCAATTGACTGTGCCATAATGAAAGAAACGACCATGTCCCTGATCATAATGATTTGGGCATATCTTGGAAGAACAGCACCCAATGATTGACTGTCTTAAATGACCCAAGAAACCCCCAAGGGGTACTTAGAGACAATCATCATATCGATCACCTTGTACCTGTAATTTCAATCTCCGATTGATTGTTTTATCATTACAATAGAGCCACGAGATGTAATTATTGTATTGACTTGAGCAGATTTATATGCAAAAGGCTGTAACATCAATTCTTATAATTCTATTGGGTATCCTAGTAAGACCGCCACAGGTGAATTTAACGAAATCTACTTCATGCAGCTTGAGTTATCCATAAGGTGAACACTTGAGAAGATATCCAGGCATTCAAGACGTTCTTGAGATGAGAAGACCTCAATCAGTATTCTAGTCAGAATGCAATTTCTTTCGTAGCATGCGTAGTCCAATGGTTAGTGACCCTGCCTCTGGACCAAGAGGTGGGGAGTTTGAATCCCGGCGCTTGTCGCTACCCCAACATGTACGCTACTGTAAAGGGTCGCAATCCTTAGGACAGGATGTTAAGCCATGGTCCAATATTCATTGTGATTGTTGAAAAGAGCTAGGGGAATTTTCCAGGTACAGTAAAGCTGTAAATACTGTACACAGCATCTTCTTTGTCATGACCAGTGGGAGAAACGCTCTTTAGTGAGCTAAAACTGGATTGAGATCACTCTTCTTTTTTCTGTCCTGTCAATTTTATTTGACATAACACATCATGACGTAATTATTGAGCACTAAAAGCACAAGGCGTGCTCCACCAGGAAAATTTTGAAATCCAGTGACCCTCTGAAAAGCTATTTCCTGCATTTTGAGGGGAAAATTTTGCAGTTTAGTTTAACTTTAATCATCACAAATTAATGACTGTCCTCTTTCCATATCTTTAAACATTGATTTTTGTCCTTCAAAGATGACGGATTGGGCCAAATTTTTGTCCATTAAAAGTACAAAAAAATCACAGAAAGACATGTGCTGGCAAAGCCTAAACCTCTAGCCAAGAATCGTGTGTTTTTTCATACCCCGAGTTCCTCCCCTTTCCTCAGGAAATGGTTGTCTGTGTTTTTTTCCATAACCCATGTTACACCCTTTCCTTTTTGTCTGTGGTAGTCCAGATAGACAGGAATAACTATACTGGCACAGAGTCAGGAATTAAATTCATAGTGATCTCTTTTTTGTGAACTTGGATGAAAGCTTAACTTTACCATTATGGATTCTACCAACACAGATTGAGCTTTTATTTGAAAATTAGAGTCTACTGGGATCTGAATTCAATCCAACATGTAATGGAAACATTAGAATGACAGAATAACCTTCTCTTCTTAAGATAGAACCAGCAAAAATCAATAAAGCTTCAAAGAGTAGTGATGAGGCCACACCAATTTAATTTCTTGGTTAACGGATTTTTCTGGAAAAATAATGGAGCAGGCGGGCGAAAAAAAATAAAAAATAAAAACAGGCCTAGGCATCCTATTATGGCCCAAAATGGTACGATAGGAGCCATGAAGTCAACACACCATGCTCGTTCAAAATTAAATCAGTGAATTTTGAACTTTTAATGATACCATTGCATTGAAAGATGGAATAACTGTAACAACTAGGATGAAAAGGACTGTTTTCAACTGTTCATGGCAAAATATGAGCATTTTGCAGTTGATTCTAAATTTTTATTTTTATTTGCAAATCAGTCAAAAATGAAGCCGCGAATCCGTTAACCAAGAAATTAAATTGGTGTGGCCTGAGGTTCTAGCGATCATACAGGGCCAGATGAAAGAAAGATGGAAAATTTATAAGGAAGTCATTTCAATTCCCTGGTCTGAATTTGGGTCTTGGTTGATATAATCATGGTTTGTCTTTTTTTTCTATTGAACAGTTGATCTAATTTTGTAGGAGAAAATCAAAATTAATTCAACTTTTTATAAAAAAGAACTAATTGCTAATTATGAATTAGGAAGAAAATTGTATACTAGCTCCTTGTTAAAAAACTCACTTTACATGCATCGTAATTGGGAATTATGGGGGGAAAAAGCTCTATTGGGAAAATTTTGAAATCTTGACCCTATGAAAACTTATTGCCTGTATTTTGAGGAGCAAATTTTGCTGCTGGACTGAACTTAGTTTTTTGACATCTCGTTTCATATTTCTGATTTTTGTTTGTAAAAGATGACCAATTCAGCCAAATTTTGTCCGTCACAAGTGCCGAAATTCTGTCAGATGACAGAAAGAAGAAGGCCTGCAAGCTGTTTTTTGCAAGGCGTAATCAGGCCACTTTAGACTTCGTAATTCGTAGGCAGCCTCCGCAAAAATCAACGTAATTCGTAATTGGACAATAGCCGCAAATCGTAAAGTCGTAATCAGCTCTGAGACTTTCATGTAATTCGTAATCGGCGGCGAAAATTTTGCGTACATTTTGTAATTCGTAATCACTACCCCCCCTTGCAGGCCCTCCTAGAACACTGCCTGAACATCACTTGAACCAGCCCTGTGCCTATTTTGACAGGACCAGTCTGAGGGAATGATATTGTACAACCCCTGCACAGACACAACATGCCACGCTCTGGTTACATGTGGTTTAACCAGGGCTCCTGCTGTACTCTCAGTTAACCCTGGGTCAGGGCACAGTGTGGTGCTAAGTAACTAATGTAACAGTGTCCTATACATGTAGGTCCAGGGCTCAAAATACATGTTTGTGTTACACTGAGTGCATTATGTACTTTTTATCTCGGCCGCCTGAGCGGCCGAGATATTGTGCCCCAAAATAGGTACGTTGGATAAATAAATCTTGATTTCGACCGTGAAAACCAATTGAAAACCAATGAAACCAATTACTCTGCATGTATACTTTACTTTGTGGCGTCGACCTACCGGATGATAGTGTCGTTATTCTTATACAACGAAGTTGCTAAAAAAAAGAGGAAATGCTGTTTACCACAAAACCATTGTTTTATATCATAGTATGCATTTAATGTTCTAGAATTTCGCTAATAGCTGCTGTAATTGGACCAATAAATCAATGACATAAATTATGTTCATTAGCTGGCATATTTGCCTAAGTCGCAAGATGTCGCTTTTGATTGGTGAATAACGCATGAGGCTCGGATGTAACGCATGAGGCTGGTAAGGGCATACTTAGCAAAAATAGCAAAATATCAGGAATTATAAGGGTATTAGGCATAGAGCCATAGGATAAAATAGAGCTAAAGATACTACGGGCAAGGGCAATCAATTACATTGTGTTTTATTCGTGCTGTTGAACAGATTTAAACAGAGTTACGTTATCGCCCCCTCCCCCCATTGAACGTGAAAATTTATGAATTCGTGCGACCTAACATTATGTTAGTGCATGGCAGGCTAAGTTTCTTGCTTTAATGCCA